CACAAAACACTGTGAGAACATGAAGGGCTTTTGAAAGTTAAATGAAAAATAAAATAAACAAAAAGCTTAGTTGACATTCAAGGTAGAAGATAATTCATGTTTATTTTCACTGTGTACAGAAGGTGGAGCCAAATCATAAGTATATGTGAACTCATGCTTCATTCTTGGTTTGAATGGTTTTCTACTGTCCTAAGTATACATTGCAGTTTTATAAAAGGAGCAGCTGTCCCTGTGGAGATACAGATACAAAGTTGGAATAAATCATTTTAAAATCTAAGAACAGAAAGCAAACAATCACCCCAAACTCTAAACTCTATTTTTGATCTTTGTGATTCCCATAAATTTTAAAAAGAAACTTCTACTTAGCTATTTTCACTGCCAGCTGGTATTTCAAAAAGAAACCATAAGACAGGGCAGAATAATGTTCTGCTTAAAGGATAGGGCGAGGAGTTAAAAAATTTGAATTCTAATTCTGATTTTGTCATTAGCTGTCTGTGACTCAGTCGAGTTCCTGACATTTTTCATGACAAGCTTCCTCTATCTGTAAAAGAAGTTAATATAACCTAACTCAGTTTATTTCTAGACAGATGACTGTGCAATAGTGCAAAATATTATGAGAGAATAGTGAGTATTCGCTAGGCTTAGCGCTATACGCTGGACTCTGATCTGATGGTGTTTCTCACTAAGAATTCTGAACTTTCATCTGAGGTGATTCAGCCTTGATGTGTTTCCAGAAGGGTCTCTTTTAAAGCAGCATTTATTTATTTTGTGGGTAGATCAGTAAGAGAAGAATCTGCCTTGTGCTGAGCAAGCATCCTTTTCCCCTAGTGAACATGTTTTTTCAATACACAATGAATAGGAGAGACCAGTTTTGACAAGGAACAGCAAGTGTGCTCACTAAGAGAGAATCTTTTGATTAACCTACTTATTATTATTATTATTACTATTGCTCTTATTACTTTCTATTTTTATGACAATTATTACTATTACTAATACTGTTATTACTGCTGTTATTATTGCTATTATCTGACAATATTCTACGCTATGTGCCACGTAGTCCAAGTGGACGCAGCTGCTGCCTTAAGGGAAGTCACTTAACTTTGCTTTCAACAAGCTATGGACCTCTGAAATTTGGGGAGGAAGCTCCATTCTGCAGAATTGACACAAGGAAGCTGTGTGGGGCCACCAGCGCTTTCAGTGACCCCTAGCCCCATAGCTTCAGCTCACAGAACCTGTGAGTGCTGCGGACAAAAGATTCAAAACTATTTTATATTTCTAGATGATAGAAATCCTTTAAACAAGGAAAAAAAAACACAGGCTACTCCAAAAAATATTAGTCTGCACATTTATGTGCTTAAGTAATCAAAAAATACCACATTATTGTTCCCTGGGCATTTTGAGAAGCTTTACCTCAGTAAGACATGAAGCCAGGCCACGCATTAGTCACAAGTCTGGCTTTAAAGACAAATGCGTGAGGAAAGATATCAGTGAAAACGTGTCAAAACCTACGTGCCACCCGGGGATGTGGGTGACTGCACAGCTGCCTTGAAATGCACCCAACAAAATCTGTGTTGCATGAATATATTCATCTCGGTTTAATTTATGTTTCACAGAGTCCTCTCCCAGATTGCATAGGCCAAGGATAGTGCTGTGCATGGGAGTAAGGGAAGTGAATTTTGCAAACAAATTTCAAACAAGTGAAGACGTGCTCTGTGTCTTAAGAGCTCCATAAATCGCAAACATCTTTAACTGGGAGCAGCGCATGAAGAGCATAACCTCGCTGGTATCAATGATAATTTTTTAAGGGTCATAGGACTGAAGAGTTTATCAAATAAAACTCATTTACTAGGGCTCATTTACCAGGAAGGTGAATCAGCTTGCTAACGTATTTCATCTCTGAGGAAAATATTTGTCTATAGATTTGTGTATTTATGTTTGAGTAGCAAATAGAAAACAATGGACTGATTCTGTATTAACAGTGTCTCTGTGTCAAAGGCTGAAAATTCTAAATAATCCATTGGAATTTAGAGCTGCTATTGCTGAGTCTGTGTAGAAAAGCAGGGATACCATGAACTTTCATTGATTTAACTGAAGATTCCCTGAGAAAACAGAAAGAAATCTTGTGGAAGTCACCTCCTAGGCTCAGCCCGGTGGTGGATGTCAGACATTGCTTAGCTGAAAGGTTGCTTCAGGAGACAAAATGTCAGTGATGGCAGTATTAGTGCCAAATTGCTCAGGGCTCCAAAATCTTCAGTTCTGATGTGTAAAAAGGGTCTGTGTCCCATGCAGGGTGGAGGCTTCACATCTAAGCGTGATCTTTTCACCCATCTCTTAGTCCTTAATTAAGATCCAATATCTGAAGACTGACACGTTCATGCTTTCCCATTGAACCCAGCTTCAGCTGTGAAGGACTTCTGCGTGTATGGAGGCATTTGTTCAAACTGAAAAGGCTATTTACATTTGCGATGCAAATGAGTGTGAAACTTTTGGTCACCTTGTGAAATGGGGGATCATAGCAATATCTGAAGCTGAATGTTCTGGTAAGAGGCCATGAAAGGTGATCATGGAGACATATGTTTCTGAACTCTAAAAGACATTTTCAAGGCACTTTTAGCAGGAACAATAACAATTCATCCTAATTCTACACTATAAGACTGTAGCCACGGTAGCATTGTGAAAGCTTGAAATAGTGTGCATGTGATTTTTTTTTTCATGTGGATAATGCTATATCAGAACCAAATATTACACATATTATTACTGCAAGATTATTCTTCCCTGTTACTAACATACTTTTTTTTTTACTTTTGCGAGGTGGATTTTATGAGTTTTGGGTTTCTCATGAATATTGGTTTTTTTATTTAAGTGGAGAAATCTTTCTCAGTCTTTCTTCTGAAAATGCTTGAAAGCCTGCAAAGCCTATAAAGAAAGATGCAATTGCAACATCTGTCAAGATGGACTGTGTGACTTTCCTCATTTTGACAGGATATGACACCATGCTTTTTTAGCTTTTTTAGCTGTTTTCAGAAGGGGCAGCTTTTTCAGCACCAGTGCGTATGATCTTCCAAATCTCCTCATCATCAATGGTGCACAAGGAGCCACCTGATCATCTAGTACTTTGCACTAGAATAACCGGTGCTTTATGGGGCAGTAGCAGGATTATTATTGTGCACTCCACTCACTATCTATACCACAGACATGAGGCAGTGAAGCAGTATGGCTTGTATGTTATATTTTTTTTAACTCTCAGCAAGGGCCCAGAGACTATTGGACACAAAGCTCTGCTTCTTGCTGCTTTTCTTTTCCTCAAGCTGTAAAGAGAAAGCAAGTTGAAAACAACAGTCAGAAGACAAAGAAAAAGGGTTTCTTTTTGCTAGCCACATGGCTTGAACAGTTTTACAGTTGTAAAAAATAAAAAAACTGTCAAAATTAACAGCCAGTATCAGTGGAAAGGAGGAAAATGAAAGAAAATAGACAGAGGAGCCAGAGGAATGATAGAGGAATAAGACTGGAAGGTTAGTACAGATCTACTGTACTAGCTCCTTTTCTCAAATAGGAGGCAGTGTGGTCTGCTACAAAGAACTCCAAAGGCAGAATCAGGATCCTTGGTTTCTTCCTCAGCTTCAAAGCTCACCACTGAGTACCTTTCTACAAAGGTCTTAGTTTTCTTACCTAGAGAAAAAAAAGACATAGGTAAAGACTATGAAAAATAAAATGAAGAGTAATAAGCCTGTGTTGTTAAGAAGAATGTTTCAGGAAGAAATTATATAAAGAAGCTTTATTTGAGAACCTCTGAACTACCTGACTTCTTCCTTCTTTTATACTGTTTCAAGAAAAAAAGAAGATACTGAGCATGAGTGGGTTTAGAAATAGCCCATAAGAATAATGAGAACCGAAGTCCAAGTAAGCCTGTTAGAACCAAAAATGTGAAACTTCTTTGAGAACTATCTAGCCACTGAACACCTCTAGAACAGCTGTATAGCAGTCCCTCTCAGAAGCTAATGCCCTATGACATTAGCAAATGAAGACCAATTCCTAATGCCATTTGAACTCCATGTCTAAGGAACTTAATGTTGAGACAGAAATAAATCCTGGTCTGTTTAACAGAGGAGGCAATTTTCATGGGACTGTTTGATTAGGAACTGGTCAGTAGCAAAACCAAAGAAGCTTTGTTCTAATTAAATAGATCAGCTTTAGAGCATGCCTTTATCCAGCAAAATGAGCTGAAAAAAATATTAGAAGCATTTCTACTCACTATTTAGGATGAAACCTCTGTAGCCTGCTTTATTTCCTAAAGTTTCCTGGAAAGAGTTTCCTGGAATGTGAGATTGTTTCTTCATTTCTCCCATAGAATGTGCATACACACACACATGCAGACAGACAGACAAGCACACGCACACACACATTCACACAAATATGAATGATAAAAAAAAAGAGAAGGGTAATGAGTATCTCCTGAAGTAACAAACACTCTGCTACTTCTGTGTGCTTTCATGTGTGCACGTAAAGGAAAAGGACCCAAGTAAACAAAGCTAGATTAGCAACAAGAAGTTGAGAGGACTTGAGACAACTTCCTCCCTTGTGCATTGGCAAGGAGATGAATGGAGAGAGCAGCCCTGGAGCCCAGTTCTTATTCTCAGCACCCAGGAGCTTCACTCTGGCTACCAATTAATGCCTTTCGTGTCTTTTTCTCTTGGCTTACATTGAAACTCCCAGCACACGGCAGCACGCTGAGCTGTTTCGGCTGTCCCAGGCAAGCCCAGCTCTGGCTAAAGTGCTACTCAGGTGCCCTTGGCATCTGTGGTAGGTGTCTACCAAGCGCCCTGTCATTCGCGGGATGACATCAGCCACACTGGACCTTGATGCACTCACTCTCCCGCTTTCCCGTACACTTTTTTTTGCTGCGCCTTCAGTTCTTTCCCTCCTCCCCCACCTTCCTCCTCTCCATTTGCAGAGTTCAGAGCCCTCCTCCTGGGCTGCCACCCCTCCTTTTCCCCTCCTCTCTCACAGTCAGAGGCTTGAAAACTTGTTAAAAGCTCTCCCAGTGTTCCAAGTTAGAAAAAACTTTTTACGAGGTATCAGCACTTTTCTTTCATTAGTGGGGAAGGAAGGATGAAAAATACAAAGCAGCAGTAGACTTTTAAAGTTTAAATAGACAGGTCTGAGTGCCTGAACGGGCTCTTCCATTTTACTTTAACCCCCCAAAGAAGTTTTCTTATCCCGTTTCACTGCTGATCAGCAAGGGTAAGTGGCAAGTTTTCCTTTTTCATATTTCCTTTTTCTTCTTTTTGCATATACTCTTCTTCTTCTTTTTTTTTCCTAAAAGCACTTCTCCTCCTCAATAATTTTGTATTGTTTTTCGCAAGGTTGAATATATATGAAGTCCAGCTTTAAACAATATAAATAATTAAATAAAAAAGATATAACTCCTCCTAAAATGTTAACTTCAAGTTCCTAGGTATTATTTTTTGTTTTCTTTTGCAATATATTTACACCTTTCTTTGAATTTATAGTTTTTCAACTTCTAACCTTGTTCCATAAAGAAAGTGGTGAAATTCTGACTGCAGAGCTGGGTTGCAGACTTGTTGCTAGTGTGCTGGCAAAATCGCTACTATCTGTACTTACCTAGCACTAAATGAACCGCTTTAAAGAAAAAAATATCTCGATGCGCTCCAGTCTCTTCTGTTGATAACAACCTGAAGTTCGTAACAGTGAGACCTTCTTCTGAGAATGTCCCATTTCTGCCCCACACATTTTGCTTTCCCATAGAAATCCTGAGTGATGCAGAATAGTTTGTACAGAACAAGGTTCTTAATTAGGTGCTTTGTTAAGTGCTGCTGCTACCGAAGTGGTGACTTCACGTGGTCTTCCTGATCATTTTTCCCTCTTCTTTTAAAATAGATGTGATGAAATCCAGACATAGGCTAAGGACTTTTAACCTAGTTTGTATATAGTTACTCTGTTTTAGCAACCTTAGTAAAGGATTTTAGCAAAGGAATGTAAGATATCATGATATGCCGTACCACGTTGGCAGTGTCTGTGAAAGTCTTGGGTGGATATAAATGAAAGTTTTCTGGGAAGAACTTAGCAAGAATCGTCTTAAATGTGTCATACTTCCAGTATGACACATTCCCTTTATATTACCTTGAAGGCTCTAATATCAAGATGTGGAGGAAAGGAATGCTTGAGCAATGCTTCTCTTTTGGAGAACTAAAAAGCTTTTTAAATTGTAGTACTTGCTGTGGTTCCTTTTTGCTGTTGTTTTCTGCCACTTGCCAGTAGTTAAAGAACAACGTGAGGAAGCAGGAAAAAGAACCTTCAGTAGAAATAAGAAGCACAGGATCTATCTTATCAAGTAGCACATTCTGGAATTAAACAAGAATATTGTGTGCTTATGTGTGTCCTCACATTTTGCTGCAAGATAACTAGCGAGCCTTGTGAAGCGGCATACTTATGAAGGATTCACTTAGATTTTGGCGCATGAGATTCATGAAAGTCTGTGGTAATGGTAACAAAAAGTAGCTAAGGAACACCTTCTGTCTGACTTCTGTTTGTGTGAATGTGCATGGAGAAAGTTGGAGGACTTGTGTGAAGTTTTCATCCTGCCATTTTTAACATCTGGACAGCACACCACAGCATAGAATTCAAGCCTCTACTCTAGTGAGATGTTTACTGAAGTGTTTCCTTCAAAAACTTCAAAGCCAAACACTGGCACCGAACCACAATACCTAACAAACACAAATAGGAGCAGGGTGAGCAGCTACTGAGTTCAAAAGGAAGAGAGGGACACAAGGGACTTGATTTGTGACATAACTCTGAATTATTATACATGCAGAAGCACAAACAGATTAAACATTGTAGAGTTATTGCAGCTCTCGTGTAATGCGAGCCTGAAAAATTAATTATATTTTTCTCTGACATAAACATTAGTTTAGGTGAAGGAGTTCCTGTGGGCATAAGGACAATTAGATGACATTGAGCAATATGTCCATTTCATCACTGCTCCCCTTCTCCTGTTCTCTGGTATCCTGCCCAATGCTACCCACCAGTGCATCTCGGGTGGAGGCACCTGCCTTATGGTTTATACCACACGCACTTTTCAGAATTCCATATTTAAAAGCAAGCATTAACTGCAGAAGGCCTGAGTCCCCCTCAAGTAATTAAGTTTCTTATCTTAGTTTCAAAGTGAGTTGCATTGTGCTAGGAGAAGGGTGAATTCGAGCAATAACATAAATGATGAATCTGGCATGTACAATGACAGAATGCCTAAGGAAATGCTTATGGTTGCTTATGGACCTTTTGTAACTATGATTTAAAATTAACTTAGGTAGAGGGAATGCAGCATGTGATAGGCAAAGGCTATGGGGGAAGATCCACTAGTGAGGGGTGAGTGCCTACCAGCAGATAGCCCAAAAGGCAAACTGTTGTGACATTTTAAATTCCAGTTACTGCAACCATTTAGTGTGTAATCTTTGTCCTGTGGATGAAATGAACTCAAGTTCATTTGCAGACCTATGGGATGAGTTTAATTTTTCCAGGAGAATATCTGAAAAACATTCTCTTAATGTTAATAGGATTTCGTAAAATAGTTTTCCCTTTTCCAATCCACTTAAACAGTATCAGTTGCACATCTTACCTGCCGTCTCTGTAATCTGGCCGCTTTGGGGAAATGCTAAAGTTGGCTATTGTCCAGAATCTTCTTTTTTTTTATTATTTTTATGGGTATTTCAAGCACAAGCTTTTGTAGGACAACCAAGGATTTGGCTAATTTCCCAACTGCTTCAGCTGCACAACCCCATTTTAGATCACATTCTGACCCTTATTGCTCTTCCATTCACCAGCATATGACCTTCTGACACAGTAGTCAGACCTGAGAACATTTCCACATTCTCCCTGGCAAATATTCTCCCTGGCAAATATGAACCAGATGACATGATAAATGCTGTCCATAAAAAATAAGTCTAGAATTTCTTAATTGTGGCTTACAAATCAAATTTCTTATATATGTGGTCATCCAGAACTGATGCAGATAAATGCTATCTCCTGCTGTTGTATGGCTTTTTTCCTGTCTTTACACACACACAGTAGAACCTGGAACAAATCCATCTTTTAAAGAGTTGCTAGGCCTGTATTAGTCCATCCCAGAAAGGATATAGTACTATAAAGTAATAATCAGTATAACCTTGCAAAACTCATATTCTCATAATCAGGGATATCCCTGAATTCCTGAAGTACTGAAATGATACTAATCTATCAGATCAATTCGTGTTTTTCTGTGGACTCACTTAAGAAGTTTGGAAACGCTAAGAGAAGTTTACATGCAAAATGCTGAAGAAATATTTCTAGACGTAATCTTCCATCCATTTAAAACTATTTATAATGCTGGAATACTTTAATAGTTGCTTGATATAAATACCCTCTTTATAGGCAGTAAATAAATACTGCAGTCAATTAATAAATGACTCTTTCGATGTCCTCAAGTCAGATCTGATGAATGAATTTTCTCTACAACAAAAAAAGTACTGTGTTTCACAAAACAATAGAATTCGCTTAAGCAAAGGAATAATACACTTGTGCCACCACAAGGTTATCTGATTAACAGTACAATGTTATGAATTGATGTGGGTTTTTTATCACGGTCAAATGCTAGTGTGTAACTGATCTCTTAAAAAAAAAAAAAAAAGTTGCTTTTCAAAACTATGTATGAGTAATTCAAGCATGGAATGTTTCCTCCTGGAGTTTATATTGCCAGAGGATATCAATGAAACTTAGCAATTTCACATGCTGAAGCAGATTTAAAAAGAGGTTCTAAATTCTCGAAATATTACTGTTGTGGGGTTAAGTCAGTCAAAACTGAAGTAAGTCATTTTACATTATTGGACCAGAGTGGAGGGTAATTAAAAAACAAACCTCGTATAACCGCCTAGAAATAACATGTCTTCTGTTTTCTTAATCAAACCGCCAATCTGAAATAACATTTAGACAGTAAAAAAATACATTGAATGTGAGGAAAGTCTGTTAATTCAGTAGTTTAAAGTCATCAGAAAGCTGTCTAATTAAATCAAGAACTTATTTCTTGAAAAAGGCTTCTTCTGTCCACTTCCACTTCTAGGACATGGAGAAAATAGCTTGCCTTTAGAACAAACTTCACATATTGTATAGTTACAGACTGTTCTCTGTTTTAACAATCTCGGTTGGAGAAGGAACGCCGCCGTAACATTGCATTCCAGCCTTTTCAGAGACCTCCAAGCTCTTGTGCCTGCCTCTTTTCTATCAACCTGAACCAATAAAGGCAAACAAATCTTTCCCTCCTGGGATGACTAAAGCTCTGAGTGACTAAAAGAATATGTCAGAGATAAACACACCATATATCCCTCCGCTGAAGCGTCCAGATTTTAAAGTCTAAAGTAGGGCTGATCCTTTGATGGGACAACATTCATGTGAAGAACTAATTCTGTGAGGAAGGGTCTGAAGGCGACAATAGGTAAACTTCCTCCACATGTGAGAGCAAGCCAGACCAAGTGTGCTGAGGAAATGGCCCTGAGATATTTTTCAGGGCCTCAAAGATAATTGACATCTCAGAGCTATCAGAGCGAGCACTTTAAACACTTGCCTTCCATTATACTCGCAGACTTTTTCCTATGAGAAAACAAGAAGGGATGGTAGTTTTTTGTTTGGCATCTATTGTTATAATTAATCTTGCCAAATTTAAAATCCTATTTTTCCAGTGACTCATTACTTCTTGAAAGAAAGTATCTTTGGTATTAAAAATTCCTATTTTATGAATTACAAGCATTTATTCTTATTTTTTAAATAAATGACCTTCACTAAGGAATATATCCATGATGCAATGGGAAGGAAATCATTTGAACATTATCAAAACTAAATACTGGGAAGAGATTACTCAGCATGCACAGGATAAATCTCTCTACCCGGCAGTACCTACTTTAAAGGGAAGCTTTGTGCTTATTGTTTCTCTTAGGTACCTGATTTCACATGCTTGATCATATGGGACAAGTTAGAATGTAAATTCCCATGTAGATAAGATTACCATACTCCAATTGAAAAAAAAAAAAAAAAACATAGTGATCCTTGTTTTTTCTATGAATCAAGAAAATCAAGTAAAATACTTCATCTCACCTGAGATGATTTAAACTTGCCATGTTCAGCCCTTGGAATACGCACTGCATGAGTGGTGCATTTGTTGAAGGCAGCCAGAAGTTACTTTTAAAACAGAAAGAGCACATTTCCCTTTGTTCTTTACTAAATCTTTTTTTTCCCCTTTCATAACAAAACAAAGAGATTTAAATGTAAAAAGACACAATTACAAAGCTGAAGCTACAAAAACCTAAGGAAGTCACAGATAACCAAGAAAGCAGTTCGTCTAATAGGGTAATATGAGCTTAGCCATTTCATGTATTTAGCAAGTACTATACCTTTTTAAAAGGATAGATAAAGAATACCAACATAATATTGGTCTTTGTGCTGCAAACATTAGTGTATAAACTTCATTTAGACATCAAATTTTATCTGAAATTGAGCATGCTATGAACTTTGTAATGCTAAGAACTATACTCTTAAATGTATTATACATCTTGTACTGATATACAAGAGCTCAGTTTAATACAACCATAGGAAATTTAGCATATGTTTTGTGATGATGCAATTTTAGGTATGCAACCCTAACATTAAATTAATACAACTTTTTGCGTTGAGATTGTGCAATGTTTTGTTCTGCTTTTCTCTTAAGGAGTGACTATAAAATTTATCATAAGTGATGCACATTCAAAAAAGAGAAATCTTTCATTTATTCCTAGCATACACAGGCAGTGCCAATACAAAATTCCACACCCTGATTAGCACTGAGTTACAGCTGTTTTACACATCAGCCAGATGTTATTGATCATTGAAATGAGATTGCCACCAAGGAATCTGGTTTGAGCAAAAAGTGGTGGCAACCGAAGGTCCTTATGGACTTCTTGAAAATGGAAGTAAAATTAGAAAGCTCTTTTTTTTTTTTTTTGCTCTGAGACATTATATGACATTTCTCAGTGCACACAAATTAAAACAAAGCTGTACTCTTAGCATTGATCTGTGATTCAGTACAATAAAAAGTATCAAAGATCTGTCCTAACCATCACTATTTGTTTCTGTTTGTGTCCTTCTTTAGCCAGCATCCTGTGAAGATGGGTGACTGGAGTGCCTTGGGAAAACTTCTTGACAAAGTGCAAGCTTATTCTACTGCAGGAGGGAAAGTGTGGCTGTCTGTCCTCTTTATTTTCCGAATCTTGCTACTGGGGACAGCAGTTGAATCTGCTTGGGGAGATGAACAGTCTGCTTTTCGGTGCAACACTCAACAGCCTGGTTGTGAGAATGTCTGCTATGACAAGTCCTTTCCCATTTCCCATGTTCGCTTTTGGGTTCTGCAAATCATATTTGTGTCTGTACCAACCCTCTTATACCTGGCACATGTGTTCTATGTGATGAGGAAAGAAGAGAAGCTGAACAAAAGAGAGGAAGAGCTTAAAGTGGTCCAAAATGATGGTGTGAATGTGGATATGCACCTCAAACAAATCGAAATTAAGAAATTTAAGTATGGCATCGAAGAACATGGCAAAGTGAAAATGCGTGGGGGACTGCTCCGTACTTACATCATCAGCATCCTCTTCAAATCTGTCTTCGAGGTGGCTTTCTTGCTGATACAGTGGTACATTTATGGGTTCAGCCTGAATGCCATTTACACCTGCGAGCGAGACCCATGCCCACACAGAGTGGACTGTTTCCTCTCCCGTCCAACTGAGAAAACCATCTTCATTCTCTTCATGCTGGTGGTATCTTTGGTGTCTCTGGCCTTGAACATCATCGAGCTTTTCTATGTGTTCTTCAAGGGTGTCAAGGATCGCGTGAAAGGGAAAACCGACCCTTACTCTCACAGCGGTGCCATGAGCCCTTCCAAGGACTGTGGCTCCCCGAAATATGCTTATTACAATGGCTGCTCCTCACCCACCGCCCCCTTGTCTCCTATGTCTCCCCCAGGGTACAAGCTTGTTACTGGAGACAGGAACAATTCCTCCTGTCGTAACTACAATAAGCAAGCCAGTGAGCAAAACTGGGCCAATTACAGTGCGGAGCAAAACAGGATGGGGCAGGCGGGCAGCACCATCTCCAACTCACATGCCCAGCCCTTCGACTTCCCCGATGAGCACCAGAACACTAAAAAACTGGCGTCAGGACACGAGCTGCAACCCCTCACCATTGTGGACCAAAGGCCCCCCAGCAGAGCCAGCAGCCGAGCCAGCAGCAGGCCTCGACCTGACGACCTGGAGATCTAAGCTTCACGCTGCAATACTTGCTCAACTATGAAACGACGTGCATTGGAAGATGCAGTCAGTGCTGATCTTGTTCCAGCGGAGGTGGTACTTAACAGTCTCAAGCAGGAAATTTTAACAATCATAAAAAACAAACAAGCAAACAAACTTTTAAAAATACTTGCTGTTTTGGGGGAATGTGGGGTTGGTGTGGGGTGGTACAATACACTTTGGTATTTAATGTAGCTGGTTTAAAGAATTTAAATACTAAAAAAAAAGAAAAAAGGAAAAAGATAAGTAGTCATTACTAAGGTAGGGGGTTGGGTTTTTTTTCTAGAAAGGCTGTAAATATCTGAGTGTATGTGTATGTGTGTACTATTATGTTTGTTTCTAAAGAATCTTCTGTAATACTGAAACCCAATAATAACTGAACTCACATTTGTCAGGGTGAAGTGCTGCCTGAAAATGAAAACAGTTTTCCTATTCAACAGATAAAAAGACCAGGATTGCCTCTGATCATTTCCCTGTCAAGAACATTCCATTCTTAAAAAGTGCACTTTGAAGGTTAACTTTCCTGTATTGTCCTTCAGGTTGTTGAAAGGCTTCTGTGAGGATAATCTACAGCCTTTGAATCGATAAACTCAAATTTCAGACATGGCCCACCAGAAAAAAAAAAATCTTTAGTCACCTGCTTTTTTAACTCTTCATGCAGGTAGACTTTGTTACATGCATAAGTGGATGAATCCACACTTGTAGAACTAGCATCCACTCTTTTTTGCCTACAGCAATATTCATGTCCTGCTGCTTACATACTGTGTAATTGGTATCATATAAAAAAAAAAGTTTGCTACCACTTGCAGATTTAAGTATTAACTGAGGCAATCAACTGCCTTTAGTTAATTTTATCACACCTCTGTGTATGTTAGGAGTGTACATATGTGTGTGATCATGGTTTAGGAGGTATATGTATACACAAACACCCTCAGAAGCATACAGTGAGGAACATATGCACACAGAATATTTGCAGTTGACACTTTCTCATGAGTATTGTGAAGATGTGGGCCACAATGGTGTTTACATTCTCTGATTCCTTCAATGCAAGTGAAACACGTCATGTATTTTTTTAATTCTATATAATGTTATCCATATATCCTGAATGGATCCTTAAAATAAAATAAATAAAAAGGGCTCAATCCTAGATATCTTTCTCTGCAAAATCTCCCTTTTAAGACAGTGGGAGTTTTGCCTGAACAAAGTCTACAGGATCAAGCCCAAGATACAGCGAACCATGTTCCTGCTGGCATGAGTGATTTTCTTAGATAGAAGTTAGGGTTGGAAAAGACCCATTAGGTCATCTAGCCAATCTTCCCTGATAGATAATAATGATGCTTGAACGATAGAAGTTGTAGTACTGTAAGCAAGCTTTAGTCTTTTATGTGAGAAACTTAGAAGAAATGCTTTGTGCTGGTTTAATAATAAAGTGTGCCTACATGACTTTTGCAGTAACTGGTATTTTTCTTGTGCTACATATTCACATTTACTGAACTGTAATGCCCAGTCCACATGTGACAGGACTTTCTAGATGACTCTAGCAACTCTGGTGTTTACACTTAAATTTTGTTTGAAATGCAAGAGAAGTTGAAAGGATTTTTAAACAGTACAATTCTAGCTAATTTATTTGAAATCTATGCTCAAAAGAAATCTACCAGTTTCTTCAAATGCGTTGCCTCTTAGTTCAACACAAATTGACCAAGGAAATACATAGCTTGGTTTCATTTTGCAGCAACACAGATAAATGGTTTCATATAATACGATATATTAATGTGTTTGACATTCCATGTTAAACTACTGTTGTGTTCAACTTCATTGCATGTATGCAACCATAGTCCATCAGATCATGTTGTCTGGAGAATATTAGTCAATAAAGTTTTAATTTAGTATAAATATGTTTTCCAATTGTCATTCACTCTTTTATAAGTTCACATATCTTTTGTTCTAGTATTACAATCCAACCTCCTCCCTTCCCTCTTCATTTTCCCCAGTCACATTTTATTTCTGCAATATTCTTGATTTAATCCATCTGGACCTACTTTGAATTGAAATTTTACAGAACTAGATATAGATACTCTCATACTACTGGAGAAATAAGAATCATGGTAACAAAAGATCACTCAACATGGGCCATGGAAACAAAAGATCACTCAGCATGAGCTACTGAAATACAGATCTTACCTGAGCCTCAGAATATAAATATATATTTATTGGCAAACAAAGATAATAATAATAAGATACTACCACATAATTTTTAAAGCATTTCTTACATACAGCCTAGATCCTACATTATGAAATTGGTGCTTCTAGTTTACATTTTCCTACATAATCAGATGGTTTGACTGACAGTTGGCTTCAATTTCTGGAATGAAATCCTGTTTCCTTTAGAATCAAAGAGAGCATGCTATTGATTTTGCTAAGGCTGAGATTTCACACACTGCCAATTGCTTCCCTTATAGGTATCAATCCCTACTGAAGACCCACAATGCCTGACTTTTCTGGATTGGACTATAGAAAAAATCAACTTCTTTTTTATTTGAAATATATATACGTATATAAAAATCAAGCAGTGGTGGTCATGTTGCTACTTTCAAATGTGTTTGGTATTTTAAGTCCAAACTTCTTTTCCTTCCTACTAGTAAAGAAGAGAAGAATTAAGCAGAACATTACTAGTGAATTTACAGCTATTTGAGATACTACACAAGAACCAACACAAGGAATGACACTTTGATGTGTTTCTTAAATAATAACAATGAGTCATAGCTTTAAGGTTGGCTTGTCCTAGTTTGTCTGCACAAAGGGAAGAACATTCCAAGCATTTTGTGGGGATCATCCCTTTTGAAAGGTGGATACAGAAGCATCCATAGAAGGGTTCATCCTGAGACAGAATTTAGTGTCTCTTAGACAGACTGATTGTCAGGTACATCCCAAACTAGAGATTCACTTTGGTAGGAAGTCTTGGACAACTGATGTAAATTACTACTTCAGTTTACTCCACACTCACAAAAATATTCCTGAGTTAGCACAAAATTACAGTTCAATTTTCTGCCTCATTTTTGCCATGTCTTCCCAGAGCTCTTCTCTTCTGGAGATGATGGTATGTCCATGCATGTAGAGGGTAAAGACATGAAACTCACTCCATTGTTCAGTAAAGACAATGGGTCATTTCTCTCACTTGGATTTGTATCTATCATCTGTGGCATCTTCTACACTTACAGAATTGTCACAATGATAAAACTGTGTGTACCATCCATCCTGCTGTTTTATATGCTTTCTCCCAGTATATCAATATGGAAATAATTTATGTCTAAATTTCAGTTTTCTGTTCATTTTGAGTAAAATGTGAAGATATGGTTGTTAACGCATATGTTTTTATCATCTCTAGAATGACATAACAGAGATAATGTAAAAACACATTTTCTTGAAAATTTTTAAGGGGAAAGAAGAGTCACAAATGAAGCAACAACAAAAAGACCAAAAAAATCAAAATCTCCTAAGCATTAAAAAATGCTATTGGTGTTTTGCTTAGAGGCATTTTGAAAAAAACAAGCTAGTTCATCCTAAATGATGCCTTCCCCCAGCTGTGACTTGAAAAGTCTATAAGGAGTAAAGCTTAAGGAACAAAAGTTAAAAACAACCTAACATCTATTTGCAGATCATGTAATTTCAAGGTATTTTAAATACATGAAGCACACTGAAAGTTCTTTTCCTAATTTAGAAATTATGTTTCCATACTTAAAATGAAAATTAGTATAGACTATAGAAATTGCTTAGGAACCACAATAAGGACTTGCTACAAAAGGCAGATCCCCTGAAATCAATCATTTTTTAAACTATACAGTCATTTACTCTTTTAGAAAAAAAAAAGGCTGTCTGCAATGCTGCTATATTCCACTGGTTCACTTGCCCATCACCAAGTTGCTGTTTCCCTCATAATTTCTCTGCAACTCAACATCAATTCAAGAAGAAAAAAATACTAATGTAAGGGTTAGAGTTTCTGAACTAAGATCTGGAAAGAGAACCAAATCTGAAGTTACTTGAAGTGATCAATGTGGAGTAATGGATATGTCAGACAAAAGTATTCACCAGTGTTTGTGGTGGTTGTTTCTACTTCATGGAGTCAGGTCCACTTCTAATTCTTTTAATTCCTCAGCAATTCCTACTCCTCCATTTTTCCGGGTTAAAAAATATATATGGAAGAACATGGAATTTACCTGTCTCTACAGACTTTTTTTCTCTCTACTTTAGAAACTTAATGCTTTAGTTATTGCTAATCCAAACCTAGTAGGACTAGCCACGATATTTTTTGAATCTACCATATTATACAAATGTTCAGTTTGACAACTTCCTTTCAAGATGTTTAAGACGTTCCCCTTTCCTTCTCATGCTATTCACTCCAGTCATTTGCAGTTTGATCTACTGGAGAATTCTGACCATAGACCTGGTGCATATGACCGATTGGAATTTCTCCAACAAAACTTCCTTGCCAGCACAGGAGGTAAGGTCAGAAGTATAAACCATGCATGAGAAACCACCGTCTAGAGGCTTTCTCTGGCACAGTCTTTTGGAAGTATTTGAAGGTCCTCTGTTTTATTGCAATTTATGATCAAGACTAGTTCTATACAAAATGGCTCCAGAAACATGGGACTAGAAGATCAGCTCTACGAACAGATGAGTGCCTTTCTCTGGCTTAAACCACGTGTTTTTTTGACTGTGCCTAAGGTCATATTCACACCCAGACTCTGTCAGTCCTGGAAACTGTGTCAGATGAAAATTACATGATGCTAGTGCATCACTACATTAAAACAGGAAGAGCCTCTTGCTTCTTGTACTTATTCAAAAGATATTCTGATAGACACAGGAAAAAAAATGCTTTTCTTAAACTTGTCTTTAATGTTTCCTAATGTGCAGTACTACCAATGGAGACGCTGAGGCAGTATGTGACTCTGTGACATTATGCACATTTACCTGCTAAAGATTAGGCAGTGGTACTATGCCTACAGACTGTTTAAATAATTGCTGAGCAGTTGCTACAACCAACCACCTCCAAAATGGCTACCCTCAGTCTTCCCTCATGGTTGCCAAAATCCTGCATTCAGTTTACAGACAAGCTTGAATTTGCAATGCAAAGACAAGCATGTTTCTACAGAGATCATTTGGTGTTAACTCCTTTTAAGTGTGTAAGAAGCGTAATGCGAAAGCTAGAGGCCAAGATTCTGGGACAGGC